TGTTGCGGAGCACGGGCTCTAGGCGTGTGGGCTTCAGTAGTTGTGGCACGCGGGCTCAGTAGTTGTGGCTCGCAGGCTATAGAGCGCAGGCTCAGTAGTTGTGCCACACGGGCTTAGTTGCTCTAGGGCATGTGGGATCTTCCCAGACCAGGGCTCCAACCCGTGTCCCCTGCATTGGCAGGCGGATTCTTAACCACTGCGCCACCAGGGAAGTCCCTCAGGTTCATTTTAGAAACAAACTTCTCAGGACTAAGGTGATGGTGACATGGTTCAGATCAAATGTCTTGGTGGCAAGCTGGGGAAAAATCATAGGAGAAGATCCCAGGCCTGTTGTCTGTCAGCTTGTCAATGATGTTTGAGCATTGACCTGGTTGTGAGGAAATAATGATATCGTCATCTTGTCCTTTATCTGGTCCAAAAGTAGAGTGCAGAGAGCTCCATACAGAGCTCTTGATATAAGGCTGTGCAAGGCAGATGGCCCTCACATCAAGTGTCTTGAGTGGTGGATGACCTGTGAAAGCAAGTTCCTTGACAAATTTTTTAGTGACCGTGTGGACAGTAATTAGCTTGGAAGGATGCTGTGGGAGAAGACACCACAAATATAAAGTATATTTGAATTGCCTCTCAATCAAAAGAAGAAATAGAAGTGACCAAATAAAAATATTTGGAGCCTATGAAATTAAATTTCGCTGAAAAAGAAATAAAAATGATCATTTTACATATGAAGAGGCACCCAACCTCAATGATGGTATGGGGAAAATAAATTACAATGCCAGTATAATAGTTTTTATTTCCATTATATTGAAAACTGAAAGTGCCTTTGTAGCATCTCTTGTCATCCTCAGTGGAAACAAGCCCTTTGATGTACTCTTACAGGGAGTATACATGACTAACATCCCTTTTGAGGCAGTTTGTCTCCCCTTTTGCTTCTTCAGGATCTGGGCTTTAGGGGTTCTGTGGGGCTGATGTTTGTGTGATGACTTTTGGTATTTCCTGTGTTCTTGGGCCTCTGGTCAGTCTCCTTCGGGCACTGATAATTTAATTTCCTGGCCCGCGGTCCCCAGGAAGGTCACGGCTTCGGCCGGAGGGGCCCCTCCAGAGCTGGCGGCGCTGCAGCCGTGGGTGGGGGCGGGGTTGGGAGTCGCTCCACCCTCCCATTGGGCTCTGGGGCGGCTCAGCAGCAGTGGAGGGAAGAGATCCTGAGCCAGGAGTTACAGCTCCGCATAAACGCGGGCTCCATTCTGGGCGGCGGGGTTGGGGGGTGGGGCCCCTCTGCCCTTAGTCATTCCGGGAGGGAGGTAGGGAGGCAGGGGCTCCCGGGGAGGGAGCAGTACGGAGCGCCAACCTTCCATGTTCGATCCTTGAACTGACCCTGGGTAGTATGCCTCAAGGTTACGTTAGGGGATGCCTTGGACTGTTATCTTCAGCTCTCCCTTTGGCAGTCTTAGGGTCAGTTCTCATCAGTTTCTTTTTCTTAGGACCAATTATTACCCCCACTAACTAGCCTCAGACTCTTCCTAATAGGCTGTAAACTCTTTGCAGGCAGGGATTAAATCCTTCTATCTCTCCATACCAAGCACAGTGCCTGGACTCTTACCTTGAATGTTGTAGGAGCTTAACAAATGGCTTATTGGTAAATTAATTAATTATAAATGAGACTTCGGGATAACCTGTGTCTTATTGAGCTTCTAATTGTTTCTTCAGCAGCATTAACTGGAAAATGCAGTTTCCCAGGAGCCATGCTTTATCTTCGTTAATGTTGTTTCAGAAAGGAACTTTGTCATGATGATGTAAAATTTTGATTAAATGGAAACAGCAGTTTATTTCTCTTTAACTAATAGCTCCACATAAAATACCATTTGTTATTAGAGAAACAATCGGAAAGGAAAGGTTTTCTCAAAGTATTATAACCAAGGTGTGGTTAAAATGATTTATACTTCATATGTAGGGCTTGCTCAGTTAATGTATCCACTTATTAGGCATTAGGAAATTCTGAGTGAGGAACAAGGTTATGAAATAGATGTGCAAAGATGGAAGTAGAAAGGGACTGTATAGTTTGAATAAGTTAATGCTGTTCTACCAAGCCTAATGTTCTCTTTTTTTGCCCTTTCTTCATTTAGTAACTAGGCCATTTCCCCCAGTATATTAACTATAGCCTAGGAATGAGTGAAAATTTTTGAGCTGCTACATTAAATCATTTCAGGACATTGGGAGTAGGAATTAGCAAATTATTGCCTGAAGGAACCAAATAATAAGCTAAGAAGGGTAAATGTAACTTACTGAAGTGCCCAATATAAAACCAAACAGTATTATAGCTTATGCACAGGGCTGTCTTGATGTGGTGTTTGATCTCCATGTACTCTACTGTCCGATTCAAACAGAGCCAATACTGACCATTTGCCTTCATGAAAATTAGAAAAATGTGCCCTTCCTTGAGTGAAAATTTTAAGTATGTTATGCACAGCTTGAACAATCTGATGTTCAGGCCTGAAGAAGGTGGGAATGTGGATGGGTACCCTCTCTGGCTTTGTTTGGTGATTTTGGACTCCACCCTCCTGTAAGGAAGGGAAGAAGGGGGGATGGGATGGAGGGGATGATGGGGTTGGGGAAGAGTGGCTCAAGGATTTAATCAGTAGCACTAGTTTCAATTCACCCAAACAGTGGTTCTGTAAGTCAAACTTATTTTTAAATCAGTGACCAGAACACCTGCGTTCTATTAGGAATCATACAGAACTGCTGCTTAAAAGGACGTGCCCCTTTTCGACTCAGTCTGGCTCTGTGCGATTGGGATGTGGAGCTCATAACCCTGGAAGGAGCAAGCCTGTGTATATATCACACACACGCTCCAAATGTCAGCGCTCACATCCCACTGGTAGTGTGTACATCCTCCCACCCCCACTGTCATCCTCATAAGTCTACCCGGTTTTTTATAGAAAATGAGCCAGTCAGAATTGGGCCTCCTAGAGCCAGGGATGGGTACTGGGATGTGCCAGTGAGTGTGCAAGTATATGAACATTAATGAATGTCAGTGTGGAGTTTCATGACTGAGAATTTTCCCTGTGGCTTTAGGTTTCCACTGGGAGACCCAGTATCTCTTCTCATGCCATCACATACATTCTTATATAACTTCACACATGTCTGCTTTGTGAATACTGCCACCCGTCCCCTATGATGCTATTGTGCTACCTTGGATTCAGTTTATATAGGTCTATAGCATTATATTAGGTGCTCAAAATAATACAATGTTTCTATATTTAAATGAGCACTTTAATGCTTAAAATAGAATCTTGGACATTTTTCATTTGGAGTTTCCACATTTTACTTTTCTTAAATTAATGCTTGTATTTTTTATACTAACTGAATAAATTCAGACCACATATTGTGAAATGCAAAAAGCATATATTAGTTACCCATTCTCTAATTGCGTGGTTAGAACTGTATAGCCCCCTGAATTTCTGAACAGAAAGCAATATATGCTCCTTTTAAGGCTCTGAGTCTGTTTAGAACTTGCTAATATGAGCTGGGAGGTAGGAGAGAGAGAGAGGTTTTTTCACATCAGCAGTGACCTAGAGATTCAGTCGGGAGTCAGTTCAAAGCCCCTGAAGACCTCAAGCTCCCCCCAAAATTAAATCCCAATATAAGGTTATTCTTCTACTTAGTGTTATACTGGACAAGAAGTATCTTTTAGTGACATAAATTCACAATGAGAATGTAATTTCACCATGAGGTTGTTTATATAGTCTTTTATTTTTAAATGTTGTATTATGGGAAATTGCAAACATATACAGAATTAGAATGAGATAATGAACCCTTATGCAACAGTACCTTGTTTAACAGTTAACCTTTGGTTGATTGTGTTTCCTCTAAAGCCCCTCCCTCCTTTTCTCTTCGCCCCATAGTATTTTAAAGTAAATTTCAGACATTATGTAAATTCACCTGTCAATATTTCAACATTTATCTCTGATTTATAAAGCCTTTTTTTAACGTATCCATCATGCCATTGTCATATCTATAAAATTAATAATAATTCCTTAATATCATCTAATACTCTTCGTATTCAAATTTCCCTAATTGTCTCAAAAACAACTTTTTACAGATTGTTTAAGTTAGAATCCATGTAGGGTTTATACCTTGTATTTGGCTGTTTGTATCTCTCAGGTTTCTTTTTTTCTATATTAATAATTTTTTATATTTTTCTTACTTTTTAAATAATTTTTCAAGGGAGCATAAAAGGAAAAATACTACCAAAATTAATGCATTAAACTTTATCTTTAAATCATTAATTTTTACGTTCTTTATGTTTTCAGATCCATACATACTTAATGCCGAAATGTGGAGGGCTGAGAAAATGGAAAAAAAAAATTTTCCTTTTCTGATTCAAAGACAGGACTGAATTGAGCTTATTACTCAACAGCAGAAAACAAATGCAAGAAAGTCGACCTCTACCCTATTTGAGTTCAAATAGGTCTGCATTAAATCACATTTTTAAGCTATATTATGGTTTGACCTAACCAAAATATCATCTTATAAATACAAAATTTGTAAACAATGTGCCCTTTACTTCTGGGATCTTATCTTTTTTGTCTTTCAGATTTTGGGTTTGTATTTCAGTACAGTGAATTCAAACTAAGGCAATGTTTTGTTACCAAACATGTGAGTGTTTGCATCTTTTCTACCATTACCAATTAACATACCTAAATGGCTTATTCATTTGACAGTATTCCCATTGAGTTCACTCTGATATCTCAAAAAAATTATTCTTTGTAAAAATAGTTAAATCACATATTTGCTTCTTTTATAAATAGTAACTTTTCTATTCTACCAGGTTGGTGCATCATTTTCTTTCAACATGGATAAGAGGACAGAAAAAAATTTCTTCTGCCGCTGTAATTTTAATACTACCATGCTTGATATAAATTGTGCAGTGCTGCTAAAATGCCTCAAAATTTTACCATTTCTTTTTATAAACTCTCAATCCTGTGATATCTTTCCTTTCTTAGGATATGAACGAGTCTGCCAAACAAGAAGATATTTTGGAATCCACAACAGATGCTGCGGAATGGAATCTAGAAGTGGAACGTGTACTACCACAACTGAAAGTCACGATCAGGACTGACAATAAGGTATAGAAGAGAGAACACATTTTGTTCAGATAGATTTTTATAAGGCCATTTCAGGGTCAAGGGTACTCCCAGTTACAAAAGTGATTTAAGAAGGGATTCAGTTTCCAATGTTTTATTTTAATAGAGATTTAATAAATTGTTGTTGAATGAATAAATAATGTAATATGGCCCACAAAGCAAGGAGTGTATCTTTAAAATGATTTGGAACACATCACATTTCCCTAGGATTAAGGCGTATTTTCTCAATACATTTTGATATATTTTCTTGGCAATCATATTTTGTTTAGGTGAATAGTGAATGAAATTGGAATTCTGTGACTGTATACTAACTGAGTAGAGTTAAAAAATGGTTTAGAACTCTGCTGGTTGACAAAACAGAAGACATCCTGGAAGCTACGTTACATAATCTACTCAGTACACATGATTAAAAGTTTAATATTAAGAACATAATCAAGAAATCATATGCAATAAAGATTTGGGGATTAGGCCAGATGAACTGGCCCATTTAATCAAGTTTCTGCTTACTTTTTTCCTACAATTTATGAGTAAGAACTTCAGAACAAGCTAATAGGTGACTAGACAATACTACTCTTATTAGTATTATAATAATCTCTATAAAAGGGGCTAGAGAGACATCTAGGTAAAAAAAATTCAAGGATTTTTATCCTTGGAGGCTAGAGACAAGCCCCAGAATTATGGAACAAGGTTCTAGGGAAACTTGTCACTCTACAAATGTGGTTGTATGTCTGCTCCCCAAAGTAGCAGCTATACAAAGATTGCTGTTTTCAGTGCCTTGGAAGCTAATTCATACTTCAATTGCCTGGATTTGGGCATGTAGAACTGTATCCTAGAGAAGCTAAGAAGTAGCCTAGACTCCTAGGGCAGTCCTAAAATAAGATAAGGACAACAGAGGTCTTCCTGGACTGTGAACAGCTGTGGAACAAGCTTTATCTGGAGTAAGTGGGCAAATCCTACAGCCTGTTTACAATATATTTACCCAGTCATTATGGAGGACAGCTATTATTTGAGTACATTGGGGGTAAATTCTCTGTTTATGTATCTCTCATATGTAAATACATATTAATAAGAATTTCTTTCCTGATTTGATCTCTGCTGGAAGTCATAATTTTCAAAAATGGAATTTTTTTGTGAAAATGTAATTTCTGATTCTTCAGTTTTGTCAGAACAAATTTTCTTCATACAATTAAACATCACTATTATTGCGACTGTAGTTAGAACAACATGTTAAAATAATTGTGTAGTTGGGAACTCTCAAGTACATCTTAGTCCCGTGAGGAAGCAAGTTTAATTTGTTTACTTTCAAGATAAGTAAACTCTTGAAATCAAACATCTCACTTAAAATCTAATAGGATCACACGAGTGTGTGTGTTTTTTTTAAGAACTGTCATTGATCTCCACATAGTAGAAGTAACTGAATAAAGAAAGAGAGAATATAAATGTAACTGCTAACCTATACAGTTTTATAAACCAATACTGCAGTAGTCAAAATCCTAGATTCTTAAAGAATCAATGTTCTCCTGATTTGGGGAAGAATTAACTAATTCAGGGTTGGACTCTTAGTCTCATGCCATTCATTACCAGCCTTGACCTTATGAGGATATACTGTGTCATTAATTATACAGTCCATGTTACAGGCAACATTCGAAAATGTCAGATAAAGTTTTGGGGGGGTTGGTATTTTTTCGAATATGTGAATGTCATTTTGAGTTTAGATTTTTGTGGTAAAAATACTGACATAGAGTCCTATTTGATTGCTTTTTCAGAATTCTTCTCTAGATAATTTGGTCCTTGTGTCCAGTGTTTCGTAAACCCTTCTTTCTCCTAAGTATTTCAGCTGTAGCAAATGGGAATTACAGCTTTAGGGTCAATTCTTTATTCAGCTTACTTAAGAAAAATAAAATTATACATTGATTTGAGAAAATAAGGGGCTAATGAATAGAGAAATGTTTTTCATGTCTCAGAAATAAAGTAATCTGGTTATACATGTGGTTTCTCACGGACTCATTATCCTCCTTAATCAGGAAGTGTTGACACCAGAATCATGGTTGATCCCATTCTTCCTCAACTCCTAACTACCAAAACCAAACCCTCTCCTTTACTTTTGGACAAAACAATAACCTCTTACTCACTGCAGGCATTTAGGACCTTTCAAGATTTCAACTTCATGTTTGAGGGGGAAGAAAAGGAATTAATTACTTTCAGATCAATGTGTTTTACTGATCACTGTTACATTAATTTTTAAGTAGCATAGAGATGTAGGAGATAAGTAATATAGGGTCAGCACTATTTAAAACAATGATAAATTTCTTTAAAATTACCTTGTGTTAGAAGTAAAAAAAAGTCCCATATTTATTTGGCACTGGATCAAATGTTTTGCTTTTTTTTCTTCACAGGTTCATTTTAGTCCTTGTATGCTTCCCAGCAGTGTATTATATTAAAAAAGTAAATCTTCTTTTCCGTTCTTTTTGCATATTATAGTCTGTATGCTTGATGACATCCTGTCATACACCAGTATTTTATTTTGTATATTCTTCATAATGTAATCAGGTTTTTATTGCTAGGCTAGCTTATTCTTGTTTCTGGCACTACTTGTTACTATTACCAGTTCTCAAAGAATGCAAATAAATTTTAATATTAGCTTAAACAAATTACAACTGGGAAAATAAGTATGTTGCCAAAACTGCAAATAATACATTCCACAACTGAAGATAAAGGATTTTTGTCATATGCTGGCTTGAATGGACTGTATTAGCAGTTCCCTTTTTAGAGCTGGGTATAGAGAATGCTCCTGGTGATTACTTCTAGAGTAGCTATATACCCATCTCAGATCTGCCTCAATTTGGAATAATGTATCTGAAGACAGTCAGAAGTTTTGCCAAGAGAGTTGATAAATTCAGCAAAATCCTGGGTCATTAACCAGGTCATTAGCCAATCCTCGTTAAGGCCTCAGTTCTGACCAAGTGAGTAAGGCTCAGGCATCAATTCCTTAGAAGGGCAGTCTGAGGACACCTAAACTAGAGTGGATGTCGGTGCCACCTAATAAAATCGTCTACGAGTATAATACATCCTGGACTTTTTGTTCTTTCCTTTCTTTTTTTTTTACTCTTTATTTCTCTAACTCTTTCCTTTTCTGATTTTTTTTATCTCTTTTTTATTGTTCTTTATTAGACCCCATAGTAGTGCCCACAAGTGTTATATAACTACGCTGGTGGAATTTAACACTAAGAGCAAACATCTGTGATTATACTCACTAGACTTAAATCTGTAACTGGTCAAGAATTATCCTAATCTCTGAGTCTTTTTAAAACACAATTTTGTTGTTAATTATAAAAATAATACAGAAGTAATATTTCAAGGGGAGAGGAGGCAGGTAGTGTACTGTGAATTAGAAGCTAGGGATTACACATTTAGTCCCACCATCAAATCCTGATTTATTGACCCAGAGTTTCAGAAACTTAGTAGAACTTTGGTAGCTATAAAGACCCAGAGAGGATGGAGCCTATCTCACACACCTTCCCTTGACACCCAAAATTCATATTTCTACCACTTACTAGCTGTGTGATCTAGGGCAAGCTACTATAGCTCTCTGTTCCTCCTTTCCTCATCTGTAAAATGGGACTAATTATATTCCTTACCTCATGGAGGAGTTGTAAAGAAACAAGAACAGTGTCTGACACATAGTTACTGCCTAATAAATGTTAATTATTGTTATGTTACAATATTGTTTTGTAATATTATTGTATTCTATGATAGCTCTCTTAGGTTTGTATCTGTATCGGTATTCAGGAAGAATTTACAAAATTCATGCCCTAATGCTTCCATCACTTAAGGGAATATTGATAACAATCAGCCTTATATTTTTACCTAGGGTGTAATTGGATTCATATAAGTATCACTTTGGTAAATCTTTCTAATTTTTTCCTTAGTAAAGGTATATATGATATGATGAAAATAATAATAATAAATGATATTTACTAAGTGTTTGCATTGTGCCAAGTGCTGTTCTTAGCACTACGTACATTGACTCATTTAATCCTTTCCACTGCCCTATGATATGCAGGTACCTTTTACTACAGATGAGGAAACTGAAACACAGAGAAGTTATTTGCCTCTGCCTAGTAAGTGACAGATATGATATTTGAACCTCCAACCCAGGCTCTTACCTATTCAATTAGTGACAATATAGCATACTGGTGAAAAGCACAAATTCTAAACTCAGGACACTTGAGTACTCATCTTGAGTCTAACACTTATTAGCGGTTGGAACCTGTGGGTAGGTTACGCAACCACTCTGTGCCTCAGTTTCCTCATCTGTAAAATGGAATTCATTATAAAGCTTACCTCAACAAAGTTATTAAAAGTATTAAATGAAAAAAAAAAAGGGGGCTTCCCTGGTGGCGCAGTGGTTGAGAGTCCGCCTGCCGATGCAGGGGACACGGGTTTGTGCCCCAGTCTGGGAAGATCCCCCATGCCGTGGAGCGGCTAGACCTGTGAGCCATGGCTGCTGAGCCTGCGCATCCGGAGCCTGTGCTCCGCAATGGGAGAGGCCACAACAGTGGGAGGCCCGCGTACTGGAAAAAAAAAAAAAAAAAAGTATTAAATGAATTAACATATCTAAAGCACTTAGAATGGTGCCAGAAGAATCACTTAATATATGTTGACCACTATTTCTGTGGGCTTTTATGTATGGTGCTGAGATTTTACCTCTTTTTTTAACATATCATTTCATCATGAGCATTTTCCACATATCCTTAAAAATTACAAACCATACCTTTAGATGGCTGTCTGTAGTGCTAGAAGGTTACTGTCAGTCTCCAGCTGAGTGCTTGGTAGGGAGATGGCTTGGCCAAGCTCAGCAGGTTGGGGTCAAACCAGGAGCTCTAGGATCTGGGTGGAGAAATGACAGGGCATTGTCCTGCAGGAACTGATGCTTAGGATATGGGCAAGCCTAAGGACCAGAAGATCTGAGAACACAGACC